TCTCCTCCAACTTCTAAGCCAGCAGCATAGCGTCTTCTCTCTCCGACTCTGCTTCTGTTGTCACCGAGTCTTCTTTGTTTGACTTGGACCCTCTTGCCTCCCTCTTATAAGGATTCTTGTGATTACAGTGGGGCCCACCTGGGTAATGCAGGGTGCTCTTTCCTTCTCAAGCTCCTTAACTTAATCACACCTGCAAAATTCTTTTTGCCACGTAAGGTAACATATTCACAGGTTGTGGAGATTAGGGCATGAACATCTGAGGGGTGGCGGAGGCATTCCTTTGTCTTCCATCCATAGAAACAACTCATAATCACTCCAATTTACTTCTAATCTATCATTTTGAAGCAAATCTCTGATGCCCTATCATTTCATCCATAATCACTTCAGTGTGTATCTCTAAAACATAAGGGCTCATTTAAAAACCAGGCTATAATACCATTATCACACCTAAAAATCAACATTAAGGCAGTGATGTCTTAATCTCATTGTTTACTATTCAGGTTTCCCTGATTGTCACCAAATTCTTTTTTACGGTTAAACCAGGATCATATGGTCAATGTAATACATTTGGTTGATATATCCCTGAAGTCTCTTTTAACTTACAGATTTCTGTGGTGGACACTGAGATGCCCCATCCTGACCCCCTTCTGTGAAGGGCTTATTGCCTCAGCTCTGCTATCCACGGGCAACATCCAGCTGTCAGTTCTCTCCGGACTTGTCCCAGCCGCAGAGCCACCTCACCCAAAGCCACACCCCAGGCCACACCTCTTCTGGAAGGCCCCGTCTCGGGCAACTTATCAACCAAACAGGAATAAAGGCTCAACATCTCACCCTAACTGTCTCAGAGTCAGCTTCCTAGGAAACCCATCCTATGACAGCTGTTACCAGGAGGCTTTCAATAAAAGAGCAACCAAAATGAAGTTTTGTTTTTTGTTGTTTTTGGTTTTTGGGGGGGTGGTAATTAGAGTTATTTGTTTGTTTATTTAATGGAGGTCCTGGGGATTGAACCCAGGACCTCGTGCACCAAGCACGTGCTCTACCACTTGAGCCATACCCTCCCCCCAGTAAAATGAGGTTTTGGAACTGAATCACTTCTTACTAGTATGACAAGGAGACCATCAAAGGTTAAAACTTGCCCCAGCAGTGAAGTGTCTGCGTTATGGCAGAAGAGAATGCGTTAGCTGGTGCGATACGTAAGGCATCTGAGGAACGTGTGCTCACCACATGGGGTCACCACAGTAAGTACAAGGACAGTGGTCCTGGGTGGCTATCACTTAGTACGAGAAAAAGATAATGAAAACCTGTGAGCAGTAACTGGCCAACTGGAAACAGTGTGACATCCAGAAGGCTCCCTGATAACTTACGAGGCTTTCGTCTCCTCCAGTGGGAGGACAGGGACAGCCAAGGACCGGGCCCAGGACTTAATCCTCAGAGGAAAGGAGTCTCAAAGAGAGTTAACCCCCCTACAAGACAGGCCTTCTACCCCAAGGTCAGGGCCGCAACTGAGAAAGGATGGACACATGGAGTGAAGTCACCTAGGCTGATGACCCAGAAAATCATAATTACCAGGTTCCCCTGGGCCCTCTGAGCCGAAAGTTCCACCCCCTCCCTATCTCCCTTGGCTTGTTGATGACATGGATTTTTTTTCCCCACAAGGCAACACGTGCCCTTTCTTGGCCTTAACTCAGGTTGAGTCACAGTATAACCCAGTCAACAATGTACTGGGCCTGACAAGGCAGGAAAAAGCCTGCATCCCAAAAGACTGCCAAGTATGAGCCGGCAGGGGCTGGGGGATTACGCGTGCTGTTGGTTCCTGAAGGTGCTTGACGAGCAGCCCAGAATATAAGGTTGGGTTGGGGAAATTTTATTGATCTGGGAGCATTTTCACAGGATACCGGATTTAAAACTCCGGCAAGGACCCCGGTGATGGTGCCAACTTTTCCCAGGATGCCTTCTAGAAACAGAAAATGTAACAGCCACACTAAATGACGTTCTAAATGCTAGAACTCTCATGACATAGTAGAAAAAAGGGTTAAAAGTCTCAGAGACGAGAGCACGTGGAAGTGGATATACTAGGTAAAGTGGAACGTTCTCCAGGTGAACGTCCTGTTAAGACGGGCACCTGTGTCGCTCACTAAGCAGCTCAGGTGTAGCTCCTCTCTGCAGGCCAGAGCTGATGGTAAGGGAGGCCATTCCAGAGCTGGGCTTCCCAGTCAGAATGGGGGTGATAGCTCTCTAAAACAAAGAGGCCAGGTCACAACACGACCTTTTGAAACCATGTGGACACAATTTCATAATATATGTGAAGATCAGATCTGCAGACAGTTATAGAGATGATTAATAGGACACAGTGTTTACAATGGTTGATGTTATGCATCAGCTTGGCTGAGCCACCGAGTGCCCAGATATCTGGTCAAATATTATTCTGGGTGTTTCTGTGAGGGTTATTTTTGGATGAGATTAACATTGAAATTGGTGGACATTGAATAAAGCAGATTGCCCTCCGTAATGTGAGTGGGACCGATTGAATCAGTTGAAGGCCTGAAGAGAACAAAAAGACCAGCTTTCCTTGAGCAAGGGAGAATTCTCCTGCAGACCACCTTTGGATTTCGTCTGCAACATGGACTCTTCCTGGTTCTGTAGCAGGTGGCCTTTGGACTTGAACTGGAAATTGGCTCCCACGGGCCTCCAGCCTCCCGGCCCAACCTGCAGAGGCTGGACTTGTCAAGTGAGAATCTGTTCCTCACCTTTTCCAGCTGCTAGAGGCCACCTGCTTTCCTTGGCTCGTGGCCCTATTCCAACATTGGCATCACTCCTCTGCTTCCATTGTCACAGCTCCTTCTCTGACTCTGACTCTCCTGTATCCGTCTTTCCCTGCAATTCTATTGGGCCCATCTGGATAATCCAGGATAATCTCCCCATCTGACAATCTTTAACTCAATTACATATCTGCTGGGGGACTCTGCAAAGTCCCTTTGGCTATTTTGACTATATAAGGTAACACAGTCACGGGTCGTCTGGGGCTTAGGACGTAGGTGCCACCAGGGGCCAGGGTCTGTATTAAACCACAGACACATGAGTGAAACCAGCAGAGACACTAGATGTGGATGAGGGAGTCCAGAATGGATGGCTGAGAAAGAAAACAGCGAGTTATCAGTTGTGGCCTTGCAACCAGTTGCAGAAACTTCTTATCTTTTGTTCCAGTAGCTTCCCCTTCTAAGGGGGAAGGAGAGGTACACAGGAATCCTGGAGGAGCTGCCCCCAGACATTTATGGAAGTGGACTGGAGCAGCTTTGCCACTTGCCAATTTATGGCTTCCAGCACCAAATCCAACTTCCTTTGCCCTGCTTTGTGCTTGGACCCAACAGCATGGACTCCCATTTACTAAGGCTGATCCAGCTACTGCTACCAATAGATGTCCAACCAAAGACACGAACAGGGAGCCCTTGACATGTCACTAACTCCCCGTGGTGAGGCGGGTGGTCTGTGCAGAAAAGAGTTAACATAGCAGGCTTGACTGCTACGCTTTGGGAAACCTGCCCTTGGTTGGCATCTGGAAACTTAGATTTCAGGAAGCCTCTGAAACCAGGAGTGGCTTGTTATGCTTAAGCTGTACAAATAATATGGTTTATGCAGAAAATCTGCTTTCCTTCGGGGATTCTGGAATACTTGCCAGGCAGAGGCTGCCTATGTGTTCAGCCCCAGTAAACACCCTGGGGGCTGAGTCTCACTGAGCTTTCATCATAGACATTTCACATATGTTGTCACGACTTGTTGCTGGGGGATTACGCTCGATTCCACCTGGAGAGGACCCTTGGAGTCTCGTGACTGTTTGCCCCCAGACTTTGCCCCATGCACCTTTCCCCTTGGCTGAGTTTGCTCTGTCTCCCTCGCTGTAATAAATCATAGCTGAGTAGGTCTGCTGAGTCCTGTGAATCCCGTGACTCACTGAGAGTGGGTGTGGTCTCGGAGGGGCCCTAGACCGGGGCCCCATCAGCCGCTCATTGCAGGGCAATCACATCGGACTTTTTCCATCATGAAAGGGACAGAGATTTGTCCTCGCTGGAACAGATCCATCTTCTGGGCGTGGTTTGGCTTCACTGTCATACTTGAACTCACAGGATGCCTTATCCGGGGGTGCCCGCAGAGCACTGGGTCTGATCAAGGAGTTCCACAGCAAAGGGAATGCAGCAGTGGGTTCATGCTTGTGGAATTATTTGGTCTTACCATGTACCGCGTCACCCAGAAGCAGCTGGCCTAATTGAAAACGGCTTACTAAAGACTCAGCTGCAGAGCCGTAGAGGAGACAAAACCTGTAAGGGTGGGGTTCAGTCTTAAAGAATGCAGTATACGCTTTGAATGAGAGACCATTATATGCTGTAGTCTCCCCTGTATCCTAAATCACAGGTCTGGGAATCATGGGATAGGAGTATGAGTGGCTCTTTTACTATTTATTTTGAGTTTTTCTTCCTGTAACTTTGAACTCATTGATTTTTAAATATTTAATGTTATTTTGCTACACTGTTACCCGTTGTGATGCTCACATTTTCCCAGCTTTGGCGTCTTCAGATGTGCGTCTAAGTCCTTTGGCTGCGTTCATAGTATTCTTTGACAGTTTGTTTTTTTTTTACCGTCTGGTGTGACAAGATACCCAGGCTCCTTTTGTTCATTTCCCACCCCAGACCAAGAATCAGCCATTTCACCAAAGAGCCCTGGTTCTATTCAGTGGGAAACAGTATTTACAGACCACTGTCTGGGTGCTGGTGAATGTGGGAGCTACTTATAGCAACTGGTTTAGCCATTGTGACACCATCTTTTAAAACTTCAGTAAATGAAAATGTGGTATTAGCTCATCAATAGACTAATAATCAGTGGAACTGAAGTCTGGAAACAGATTCTGTATAGACACAGACAGTCCCAAAACACAGAACTGTAAATCTGTCATAAAGAGAGCCATTGGAATGCTTGAAGAAAAGAAGAAATGACATTGGAAAAACGGGCTACTTACTCAGAAAGAACCCCCACATCATGGCATGTGTAAGTAAGTTCCGAAACATAAAAATGTCAACGGAAAAAGCAAAATATGTGAGAATGTTTTATAACTTTTGGCTAGGGAAGAAATTTCTAATCAAGATGGAAATCCTAAAAACCACAAAGGGAAATGAAAATTTTACAACGAAAGATAACATAAGCAAGTTGGAACAAGCTAGAAGAAAATAATTTTAACATGTAAGACAAATAATTTCTAGCCATACTATAGAAAGTTCTCCTAAAAAATAGTAAGAAAAATTCTAACAGTCCAATTGGAAAAGGATACTAGTAGGCAATTCACCAAAGAAAAAACAAATGATCAATAAATTTATGAAAGCTGCTCAGCCTCAGAAGAACAGAAACATGCAAATTAAAATGAGAAAAAATTTTGCCCATTTTATGTCAAAATTTTGCCATTATTTGGTATTAATGGGGATCTGAGGGAAACAAGTGTTTTATTTACTCTTTTTGAGAATACCGTTAAGAGCTATTATTTTATTTTTTTAACCAGACCGAGAATTCTTTGTTATTGTTGTTTATTTGGGGATGGTTCGG